TACAAAAGTTTACTTGGTGTTACTTTTTGATTTTGTTATCACTTCTTTTGTAAGGCAAGTTTTGTTTTAGAAATAAGATTTTTAATTTAAGTAGTAAATATAATCCAAGTAAATTAATTTTATATTCTATTAATTGTTAAATTAATTTTATTATTTTTTAGTTTGTAAAGGTTTTTTATGTAATAACGACCAAAAGTTTACTTGGTGCTTCTTTTTGATATCACTTTTTTTGTAAAACAGGTTTATTTTTAAGGAAGAATTTTTTGTAGTATTATTAAATATAACACGATGCTTTTTATTTTCACTTACGTTTATTCTCTTATATTATATGATAACTGTGTCTACTTAACAAATATTGATCTGTAATGCATATAGTTGTATTTATGTCTGTAATAGATAAAGTAAAATATTAAAAGGAAAATATTAAAAGTAGCATAAATCAACGATAATTTTTTTTGTTTTCTTGCAAATTCTTATTTATACTTATCCCTATTGTTTGTAGCTTATATAAAGTACTTTGCACATTAGTTTCCCGGTAAAAAATTTTCCATGTATAAAATTGTATGGACATATTCGGCATATAAATTTGTATAATTAGATGTAATAATTTTAATTTGTGTATAAATATATATGATTATATATCAAAACTTTTTTAAAAATATAGTTTTATATAATTTTTTTGTATCTAATATGATAATAGAGTTATTTTGTAATTTGATATGGAATATCTCTGCCATTCTCTTAAAAAAATAAATTGAAGACCTTGAAGCCTGTAGTCCACTGGTGGCGGTGGTAGTTTAAATAAAGATTAAAACCAAATAATTGCTAGGGACGTTTCGATCCCTTTTTCGAATTTTATTGTGATCATCTTCAGCCAAAGCTGTAATATACATGAAAATTAGTTTGTATACATCGTCTGAAAAAGAAATTATAAAGAAATTATGAAAACAATGAGTATATCAACAAAGTAAAAGTGATAAAATATAATATAAACCGCAAGTGTGTTATAATAGAAATAAGACGTATTTACGTACCGTATAAATTCAAAGGACGCGATTACTTGTCAACAGTCATATCCGAGAGGAGTCACAAAACAAGGTGTGGCAAACAAATGAACATTTGTGTTCTTCATTATGGTTACTAAGAAATGAAATGGTCATAGAAGTAAAAATTATATTTATAGAAATTAGTCCAAACATTAGAATAAAGTCAATGCGGTTAAAATTAGTCAAAAGTATTCGAATAAGAAAAGTCAGTGAATAAAAAAACTGAGATATGTAAAAAAATTAACAAAAAAATTGAAATTATCAGAACACTCACGTTCAGTCGCCAATCACAAAACACCACGAGACTCATCTCTAAAACTGCCGGACAACCGCGCATGGTAGACGTTGTACGACTCTCACTGTCAACGTGCGAAAAACAAGTAAGAGATAATACGGTATCAATAGACAAACAAGCCTAGGTAACACAATGGTGGTAGGAGAGATTTTAAAGCCGAACGTTTAGATATTGATTTTGGAAAGCAATGGCATGTATATAACCCTGATAGCCAAGCATGTTTTGCAAAATCATGTAACT